AAAAACTGTTCGGACAGTTTTTTTCCGTGATTTAATGTATTTTTCGAATACTCCGAGTTTTCTTAGAAATGATTCTGGAATTCTTTTAACAAATGCATTTTGTAGAGCAAACATTTTTCTACAAAATAAGATGGTTCACAGCTCTGAGAGAATCGTGATAACTGATTTATAGCAATTCTCCCGGATGCCCCAAAAGGTCTTCCGGCCAGACTGATCATCGCCATATCTACAAACAATTCTCTATAAAACTACATTACAATAAATTGAATGTAGCATTTATATCGAAAACAAGAAAGGTTTTAAACGATGCCTCTCAAACTAAAAATTTCAATTAATTTTAAAATGAATTAATTAATAACTCTGTGGATACTTGACCAACGAGTTTTTTATAGCATAGGCATACCACCGAAGGTGTTCTGTACAAAGTGGCCAAGTTTGAGGGCATGTTTGGGAGTAAGGATACCCCCTTAAGTGTTTTTTAAGAGTATTGAGCAATCATTCGTTCTCAAATTGATTAATCTGTATTTTCTATACCAGGTGATAAAACTTTCATTCAGCTAGAAGAGCATATTTCTTGAGGTTGATAAAAAAGAATTTTTTTATTTTTTTGGTAGGTGTTGCCAACGGACGGGTTCCGACCTAGTAAATCGGTACTAATTAGCCGCTGTCGTAGGCTAATAATTAATTAAATGGAGGATCGAACATCGACTCTATCTCACCATCGATCGATATGCAGCCCATTCTGTTATCAAATATATACACATTCTTCACTTAAGACGAGTGGAAGGGACATTCGACATATCAAAATTTGGTGCTTCAGCAGTGCCAGTTACACATATGGTTTTGTTTGTCTCAAAAGGCTCATCCCGCTTTCTTGAGAAAAGAAGCTCTTAAAATTCTGTTTCAATATGATCAAAATAGATAGCTTAATACTGCAAATATCGCGTGCATCTGAAATGCATTGAGTCAGCAACGTTCCCAAGCAAAATAGGATCTAGCTTAAGCTAGCTAAAAGGAACATTTACCTAGCTTGAGCTAGCTGATTGTTCCTCTTTAGCTAGCTTAAGCTAGATCCCATTTTGCTTGGGTTTTCCCATACTCCCAAACTTCACAATCCTGTCATGATCTTAACGCAATTTGGCCAGTCAGATGTATAGACGTTTTTCCCATCAACAACTACATTCGACGAGTAGTACAGGTGGAAAGAGAACATGCAACTAATTTGTGTTGGTCAAAAGTTTTGAACGGTTAACTAGTAAATTACAGAGTCAGTTCCTTGAATAATAGAAGAAACTGAGATCTTTTATTTAACAATTTATACTCAACTGGTATCGGTCACAGCCATTTCTAAGTGGTCTTCAGACTCGTCTTCATTACTCCAAACTGATATATTACTCTGTGAAACACCATCTTGTAGTGAGTGCCGTTTGATCGTCGATTCGCCTGAATGTAAAATTACATAGGACAAGAGATAAATAAATGCCTCATTCTCTTACCGTCCTCTTCATTATCATCGTGACAGTAGAAGTCGATGAACATTTCGTTTGAAGACTCATAGTAAAGTCTAAATATTTCTTAATCATACATGAAGAATAGAAAGGAAGATATGATATAACCCTCGAAAAAAGAGCCTTTTGATAAATTGCATCCGGTGGTTATAAATCTGTCGGAATGTGTCAAGAACACGTTAAATATATTATCTATAATAAACAATACCTTTGAACATAGGTGTCTACTTCAACTTCAACTAATGGAATGTGCAATTGAAGGTTATCGTTTACACCGTCAAATTCAATGCGTAGTTTTGTCAACTAAAAGAAAAATAAGCATAATAAGCTCATTTTCAACATCTTCTACATCCATCTACATTCATGAAATTCTCAAGACTCTTTCACACCTTTCCAATATCGGCCGATGTTTGTATTCGTGTTTCCATTTGATTCTTATTGAAATGAAATGGAACTTGACGAATGAAACCATGTTTACCATATAATGTAATAAAGAATTCTTTTAACTGCAAAGATGGTAGATGATCACTGACTGTACATCGAATTGTATATTCTTTTCCTCAAACGAGAAAAAGTATCCAGTAGTTTGTCGCTCAACAAGTGGACGACGATCGACTGGTCATAGTATAAAAACTACATCTTATGAGAGATTCGCGGTGATAAAGAGACAGCCAAGAAAGAAGAACAAGTGTTGTTGTAAGTCTGCGATGAGCAATGAACAGTAAAACTCTCTTACCATCATCCATGTCACTATACTCTTTGGCTAAAGTAATTCTTTCTAAAGATTATGTTTTTGTGCTAATCGAATAACTTAGAAAAATGTGAAATACAGAGAGAATTTTTCTTTTTGAAATTGACACGTATTCCAGGTATCTATTAAGCAAGTAATATATATTAAGAGAGATGTCATTCGATTCGTCGGTGCTATAGATTATACTTCAATTGTCATATATGCTGCAAAATTGTAGGGTGCATAACATTTTTCTTTTGTTTGCGCCTTCCAATTAACTCGTCAGTACACCGCTGACCTCTTACTAATTTGAACTTTGTGAAATGAAGTATTGAGTATTTTTTATAAAAACTTTAGGAAGATAATGATATAGATTATTTTTTTCTTTCAGCGCTCAATACTCAATTTGATTAGTCATGATCGTTGTTAAGCAACTGAAAGGAGATCCTGAAATAATGGCGTGACATAAATGCGTTGTCTATAAAGCGTAATCAGTTGAAACCAAGAATAAAACACAATACGAATTAGGCATTTTAGAATTTATTTATTTAGAAAAAACTAAAGGTTTTTTAATGGCGGTACATTTAGACTTGTACTATTATGTAGAGCTTAGAGCTATGTTCCTCTATTTTTTAAAGACCAAAGAATGGTATGAGTATTTGTAACTAAAATAGGAATATTGCAATTTGCTCTAAAACCAACAGTGATTATGCTAAAATTTTTTGTAAGGCAGCATTCGTAAGAAATTTGTTATCGAACGAGCTACAAGTTATATTACCGTGATCCGAAGAAATGTGACTTCTTTCAGGATCTTATAATATGAATATAGGGAAAAAATTTTATACCTGTCTTCTTCGTGTAAGTCATTGCGTCTCTCTCTAATAACAGCTTTCGTACACTGAGAGTGTTCGACAAAATTAGAGATGATCAAGCAGAAGTAAACGAATGGGATTTATGATGCACAGATGTACGCACTATGAATGGTACTAAAATTTCTCCTTGAGATCATTAGAAACATCGTGATGCAGCTAGATTGGTACTATAATTGTTTATCGGTTATCTTCTTAAATGCTATGTTTTGTAGAGCTGAGATTAGATTCCTTTTATTTTCGTGAACAACAATGTCAATAATACCGCCATCAGCGTCACTTGTGCGTTTTGATAATCCAACATTAATTTCCGCACAAACGGATCGTGATCGAAAAGGTATCGGTGGTGGAATGGGTGGAAAACAAAATGAACAGCAAATGATGGATATTCCTGGTTCATCACCTCAATTACAGAGAAAACAACAAACAATGAAAGATTTATCGTTAGAAGAAATTCTAGATAAAATATTACCACCACGGTCAGTCACATTTTTCAAAAAGTAAATATTAATTCGTCATTTGAGCATTTTTTTATTTTATTTAGAATGACAAAAGATCCAAATAATTCAGATTTATTATATTGTCAAAGAATTTCATCGACACCTGCAACTCGACTAGATGTAATAAATTTACAGGAGCAACTTGATATGCGTCTGCAACAGCGTCAAGCACGAGAAACTGGAATTTGTCCTGTAAGAAGAGAATTATTTTCCCAATGTTTTGGTACGTGTATTATATTACTATTGAATTGGATATTTGTTCGCTACAAAATGTCACAACATATTACTTCATTGTTTCTGTTTTATAGATGAACTTATTCGACAAGTAGCAATTAATTGTGCTGAGCGTGGATTATTATTGCTTCGTGTCAGAGACGAGTTACAAATGACACTACGTGCCTATCAAACTTTATACGAAAGTAGTGTAGCATTTGGAATGAGGAAAGCATTGATGGCAGAACAAGGAAAAGCTGAATTAGAACGAAAAGTGAGTTATATCAAACAAGAAAATATGATTATACTAGAGAACTAGCAAATAAAGGTATATATCACATCTTGGTATATATAAATATCTTTCTGTTATCTTACACTTTTCTATTGACCCGCTCAGACAAAAAAATGTGCCGTTCAGGGAATATCTTATGCGGAAAGAGATGTCTCCTTATTCACTAGATTCCTACTATTTTAGTTAGACATTTAAATTTTAAGTTTTAAAAAAACGGTTAAAGTAAATTCTAAATAGAAATTTAATGTAATATTATATTTTATTTATTGGCATTAAACTGCAACCGAAATAAATCTTACTACTAGTTTATTCTGTAGATAAATCTAGAATTTTACTTTTTCAATTCTTTATTGAAATTTAAAATTTGGAAAAATAAATGTATTTTCACTCTGTTTATTTGTCTAGCTTATTCAACTTGACGAAGATAAACGTGAATTAGAACGACAATTAAAAGATACGAAAGCGAACGCGGAAGCGACTGAAAAAAAATTGACTGAACAACGACAAGTTGAAGAACGAAAACATATGGAAGAAATTAATTTTTTGAAAAAAACAAATCAGCAATTAAAGGTATAGCACAGCTAAACTTTAAAAGTATCTGAACACTGAATTTTATTTTTTGTTTTGATATTTTTTCAGGCACAACTTGAAGGTTTAATTGCACCGAAAAAATAATTATTACACGCCTCTCAGAAACAATGACATAACTTAAAAGAATTTTCAAAACACTTTCATGATCATATTGTAACTTATTTTTTATTTTTTTTTATCTATAGACAGACATAATGATGAATCTTTAGCATTGACGCAAGCCAATTATCACATTACGCATCTTACACTTCATTAACATGAATGACATTCGTAAAGGAAAAAAGTACATTGGTTTTTTTATCATATTTTTAAGTTTAATAAGGACAAATATGACTTTGGTTAAACAATGAAACAAGTCAAGAATAAAATAAAGATCAATTCGTACTCGGTTTTTCCAGTATGAAGTGTAAAACATTTTACTTGAGTATTTTAAAAAAGAAACTTTCACAAAAGATCAAATATATTTGTTGAAGATACTATCAGAAAACTTGTCAATATTTTTAAAATTAAGTGCTCAGACACTGTTTTGTATGTTTTTAATAGAAAAACTAGAGTATTTAAAAGATTTACATGATTTGTTTTCCATGGATCTACTTTCCGTTGATTATTTTTTGTTTTAATTAGCTTTTTCCCAGCATGAAAGAAAACGAAAATATATATATTTTTTTACTATAGCGGATTTACTTTCCACTAATTAGATAAAAAAATCTGTATTAATTAAACAGTTTAATATATGGAGATTGACTTTTCATTGATATAGAAATATATTAGCCACTTCACTCATTAATTATTTATCCACAATTTGAAAGTGCTTTTTGATTTAGCAAAACTAAAAGTCAAACAAAACTATAGAACATCATAACAAAAAATATGAAAAGGTTCAGTCCTTGAAATAACATTGAAAGTGTCTCATAGCAGCTGTCTTTAAGAAAGTTGGAATATCAATTTGATCATCATCATAATGTTTCTATAATTTTGTTAAACATTCATCTGACCTTAGTTTTTCGGCGTGTTAAAAGAAGATGAAAGTCTTTGTGATTGATCTGGATTATTTGCAGCATTATCATTATTACGAAAAAAGACATGTAAATCTACTACATCCAAATATTTTAAGATTAAAACACGAAAGCGGATAAACTAGTTACTAATTATAATTGAAACTACTTTGTCTTCATAATAAAAGTTTATTATGAAGACAAAGTAATTTCAACTATAATTAGTGAAATTCAAATATTTACATTTTTATTGATTCACTGCAGAAAGAACAATCATTATCATCATCACTAACAAGATTACGGGATGATATGGATGTACCAGCTCGAAAATGCCGAAAACGTAAGGTCAGTTGAATGTTTAACAAAATTATAGAATTGATATTCCAACTTTCTTAAAGACAGTTGGTATACACTGTAAAAAATAAAGTGTGCTCGCTAGTGTGCATTTCGAGTCCAAAGCGATGTGCAAATTGTCACTGTAATCTAAATTTTTATCTTGCGTTTCTCTATGGGGAAAAAACGGAAGAATTCTTCTACTCTTCGGTCTTTTTTCTCTTTCTGTCTGTGGAAGATATATGTGCAATTCCAGTGTGTTACAGGCACACTGAACAAGCCATTTTCAGTGTGTAAAAACAGTCCAACATGATGTGCACATTCAGTGGGCCCCGGACATACTTTATTTTTTACAGTGATATGAAATACTTTCAATGTTATTTCAAACATTGAACATTTTCATATTTTTTGTTATGATGTTCTATAGTTTTGTTTGACTTTTGGTTTTGCTAAATAAAAAACATTTTCAAATTGTGGGTAAATAATTATCAATGGGTGAAGTGGCTAATGGATTCCTATATGGATGAAAGTTAATTTTGTACACGTTTTGTAAGATACCTTTGTCTAAATTAAACATGTGTTCTTGTAAGAGAAAAAAAGTTATGTTTAAAGTACGATTGAAATTGACAACTGATAATCCTATTAAACTGTATATCGGTGTCTAGAAAAACAATCTCAAACGTTCATACGAATTAAGGGAATTTATAATGACAATACGACGTTTAATCATGTAGAAATTCTTAAATCTTTATGTGACTATCAGAACACATATTTTCTGAATCTTACACATCAACAATGGGCATGCTCTAATATTCCAATGGCAATGGCAATGCTCTAATATTCCAATATTCCAATATTAGACTCTCAATGTTGAATTAGATTTAGATGATGTATGGAATTATGTTGAAGAAGTGTTGATATCTTTCTTGGATCTTAGTGACTGTTAGTAACCGTTCATGAGTATCAATTTTGATATTAGTGTACTAAACGAATTCTATCTATTGACTGTATCAAACTTTAAGTTGAGTCTGTTTATGGGTATTAGAGTATATTTTAAAAATACACATTCAACAACTAGTCAAGGACATGATTTTTAAAAACGTTAATGAATTGGGGAAAAAAAGGACATCTGTCTTATAAAGAACGTCTAACATCTGTGTCTGAATAAAAGAAAATGTACAAAACAGAACAAATCTAATAGTGTCATATGAACTCTTTCTCTACTAATGCACTTGTTTCCAGAAATTAATTGAATGTGATCTAAGATGATTAAATCCAAACTTCAGTCATCACAACAACTAAAAAGAGTAATACAGAAGAAGAATAAATAAACAAACAGTCTCTTTTCTTTTTCTCGTTGTCATCGAATTTCACCATTATCTATTTGATCAGACTCTTTTCTTTTTATGGCAAAGAAGAGAGAATTGAGTGTAAAAAAAAATGTAGGAGGAAACGGATTTTCTATAAATATCTATGCACTCTCTAAGGCAGGATTTATTACATTTTTTTATTTAAAACTATAAATCTTATCGGTTGATAAGGTACAAAAATATTGCATAAATAACTATCAAAAAATGCAAATTAAATATAAACACATTTTTTGAACTAAAACTCTCTTTCCTTTATTCTTTAGAAAATTAATAAGTTTATGATTTTCATTTATCTCCGGACGCTAATTTTATTCGGTCAAACAAATGCAATAGAATATTAAAAAGTAAGTTTCCGTTTTTATTACTAATTCTTAAATTGGATTTATTTTCATTAGACTAGATATTGTCATTTTTTCATTCAATTTATCGTTGACAGATGATTCACCTTGCAAACAATATGTCTATATAGGCAGAAAGAAAACACATTCAAAATTTTCAATAACATTTTTATTTTTATCATTATGACAAAACAAAACCTACCGAACTTCGATTGTTGAATACACACATCCTGTATTTCACAGTGTGGGTTTGTGTATAATCTAAAAATATACGACTCGATTTTTTATGATCGTTTTCAAGAAAAATAATTATTTCAAAATAGTTTTTGCTGGTGAATCGAAGTACATGCTTATAACAGAAATTATTCCCACAAATGTCTTTTGTTATCGTATTTCCGATATTTTTCTTTTTTGAAAAATCTCTATTTTTTGCTATTTTTTTTTAGTCTACTGTTTATTCAATCGAAATGCACAAATACCTTGTCATGCAGCGTTTGTTCTCTCTCTCTCTCTCTCTCTCTCTCTCTCTCTTTCTCTTCGTTTAGAAAATCTTTTCATACGGTGATTGTCGTATTACAACTATATATATGTAGAACGTTACCATTTTCTTCTTAACTCGTCTAATTATCTTTCATTTATTAAACTCAAAAAAAATGAAACTTTCTTTTTTTAGTTTGAATCTAGTTCACTGAGATCTTATTAAAAAAAGGGTTTTTTGCTAGAAAAAGCAGCGGAATAATTAATTTTTTCACAGTATCATGTATTTTTACATGAGCCATCCTTATGGTTATATTCTTTAGATATGCAGTTTTTTAGATTCAATTGATGTTGTATATGTATACGTAGTTGTTTTGCGTAATTCTTCTATGGTTTGTACCCTTTGAAAAAAGTTCACTTTAAAAATCCGTATGCATCTGAATAGTGTTCAATAATAACTATCTGATACTTTTAGAAGAGCTAGTTTCTAAATTGACATTACTTTGAAAGAACGATGTGTACAATGGTTGTATATTGTGTTCTGTGACAAAAAACCTCTAAAAATGCTCTAGAAATTGGTAGAAAATTTGGCTTATAGCTAAAAAATGGTTTCATTGCTTTTGGCAGATATTGTAATTAATTTAAAACTCCGTATAGATTGAAGAGTTCAGGTACGGCCCAGTCACTTTTCTAGTTATATTCATCGTACAAAAAAGTGTTTTTCAAATTTATTTTTCATGCAAAACTCCTATAAATTAGGGAAAATATTTTATTTAAAAAAACAGAACGCGTTTTAACGCCAATAACTCATCATACCTTTTAGATTCAAAAATTCGATAGTAAACTACTATTAATCGATAAAAATGCAAACGTATGTGTTTACTTTATCCAGTACGTACGTTTTGATGTTAGAAAATAAAAAATTTTCCACCGACGGTGCGATGATAAGCCACCGTTTTTGGTAGCATTAATATTGGATAATGATACTTATCGTAGTACTGAATCGTAGATGAAAAAAGACAAGATAGAAAAGAATAACAGATATATTTTTAATTATTGCTATTAAACGAATATAAATATCTTTTATTTTTATGCTTTTTAGTGGGATTAATACTGCTGAGAAAAGTCTATTGGAGTCTAGTCTATACAACATAGTTATGAAAGCGATAAAGCTTGGGTTCTTTTCGATGATTTTGATAATCAGTCTGTTTGACTTATTTGTTTGAATTAATGGTAATATTCATTCGTTTAGAGATGTGAGGGACTGGACATAGATTCTTTTGTTTCAGTTTTCATTTCCATATTGTTCCGCGGGACATCCCGTTGTTCCAAGAAAAAATTTCTTCCAGTGTGATGGCACAAAAAATGAAAACAAATTAAATGTCCAGTATAATTTGCTCAGTATTATATAGAAATTATCAGTAAACAAATGAAACTGTCAGTATAAAATTTAATGTTGGGTAACTATTATGTTTGCTCAGTCAACTAATTGTTTGCTCAGTAAATTAATAATTTGTTTAATGTTAAAATTAAAGTATTAGTAACTAATTCAGTTTGCTCATTTAAAAATTTATTTACTCATTAAATGAATAGTACTCATACCAATAAATAAGCCATTTTTATTTTTTTGATGAGAACATTTTGGTGTAAATCATCATTAGTCAAAAGAATTTCGTATAATTTACAGCCTAAGATAAATGTTTAGTAAATGTTACAAACAGCTGTATATTAAACGAAATTCTTTTGACTGATGATGTCATCATAGTTAATGTCTCGAAATAAAATAAAACTGGTTAAATCGTGAATAACCATTCTTCTGTTTTACTTGCATCATTAACTAGTCATGATGTTATATAAACGAAACGAAATTTTCAAAAAATTTTAATATATTATTACTAATTTGATTTAAAAATGACAACGGCGATGGAAATTGTTGGAATACCAGCTTATGTTTCTGACAAGGACATAAATACAAATGAAACTGTAAATAATGGAAAAAAGAAAAGAGCAAAAAAGTGACATCGAAATTGGCAACGAAAATTACTATTTTTACTGATATAAGTTAATAAAAAACTGAACAAAAATAAATTAAATACTGAGTCTTTTCAAATTATTTACTATGTTAAAACTCATTTTTTACTGAGTAAAAAATACTGAAAGTGTAATAAAAAACATACTTAGCATTCATTATAAAATACTGAGCAATTAAATATAAGCCCAAAAAAATGTTCGCCAAGTACTCACGTCTGAAAGAAATATCTATTGGTTTCTTTTTGCGGGAACAAACTAAACATAGTTTTGCTTCTGTCTCGGCGTTTGTCTTACAAAAATTCTTTTAATATCCCGAACATTACTACTTTCATTTTTTAAACAGGATTTGTTTGGAAATCGTTCTGGTATAGCTATCATTTCATTTCACGTAGTTTAGTCCTAAACTATATACCCAATGTGGATATTTACTCTTTTAGTTGACAGATTTGGTGCAATACATTCTGAATTACATTCTACTTCTGCATCGTTGAAATGCTAAGGCTATGTTCACACTACGAGTTAAGCAGCTTAATTTTTTCGGCTTAAGGATTCTGATTGGTGGCATCAATCAGAATCCTTAAGCCGAAAAAATTAAGCTGCTTAACTCGTAGTGTGAACATAGCCTAAGAGCAGCGTGTGCTCACTCAGCTGATGATCGTCTTCTCTCTTTTCTTCACACGTGCGTTTATGACAAGAAAGAAGAATGAATAATTTACAGTGTATTAACTCCGGAAGTAAAAAAAATGGATCCACTACTCTTTGAGAAAAGAGCACATTGAAAATTAAATAGTTGCCATCAATGTTGTCGACGAGGCAGAAAAACAAAATGAATGAGTCGACGAATCGGGACGATACCAACTCTACCATATGAACTGGATTCGATTCATCCTATACAGAACTATTATTTCTTCAAAAGAGACAATAGTTTTGTATACAGGACAAATGAGCAAAAACTATTTGAAATATTACAGTGCTTATTCGTGCTTATTTTTCACAAAGAAAACGAGTAGTAGCATACTCTTGGGAATATTGACACAATTGCGATCTTATCAGTGAACATAATATGTATTGGTTAGCAAATATAAGGTGTCATTCTGTTTAAATGCTATCTCTCTCTCTCTCTCATTGTGAAACTTCCTGAATCAACAAGAGACAAGAAAAGAAGAAAAAAATTATGATATTTTTCTAAGTCAAGATCTTGGCAAGAAGTGCCAAAAAAAAGTGTTTATTACGACTTTTGTTGAATACACTTGGAACCTAATTTCTACTCTGATCCCCATTTACAAAAGTGGTAGGTGGTCGGTCATATGAAACTATAGTTATCTTTCAAACATAAATTACATTTTTTTTAATATAATCTCCTGCAGATAGAATAATTAGTAGGTAAAAGAGAATTTAGTTATATATAAAATCTAGGTTTAAGAAAATTTTCGTTTCTTTACAAGATAATTATTATTAAATCTAATGTATTGACATCTACTTGTTAGAGAAATTATCAGTATACAAATGTAATTTTAAATAATAGTTGAAAAGAAATACAAATTCAGAAACTTGCGGCGAAGTTAAAATTAAAGACACCATGAATAGTTTTCTCATATGCATTTTCTAAAGAAAGAAAATATGTGTATATGTTGCGTGCGGATGTTTACTTGTGGTTGCTTATAGAAAAAATAAAAAAGAATAAAAAATAGATTAGAGGAGAGAAAAAGCTGTTTCCGATTAAGCGAAAAATGTATAATCATTTATTATTGATAGAAAGTAGGTGAAAATAAACTACCCTGTAAAACAAAGAGCAAAACAAACAAATATCAAAATTGATTTTCTCGTTTAACATGGTATACCCATTATTAGTAAATTCATAAAAAAATACACTATTATCCTATCGATATTGTTCAATTTATTTTAGATATACCGATAATACTAATCAACGGCTCACAAGTAATATTCATAGAATTAATATATCTTTGGATGGGAAGATTACTGTAATGACTATGACTTCTTTTTTATATGCATAATGGCATATAATAATCATTCAATTTTACTTGAACTTTTAAACGTGTCAAACACAACATTCACACAATTATCTATTAATCAGCCCGATTCATTTGACTACGATAAAAATCCGTTTGATATTGAGGATATATTTACTAAATTAAACTATGATAAATATGTATTTTTTGCCATTGCATCGGCCTTATTCGGATTACCCGGTAATATTTTATTACTTGTTATATTGATTAAAATTAGTTTGAGTCGTGGTCGAAATCATCTTTCATCGGGTTCGTTTGAACGTTTTTTATTTGAAATTGTTCTTATTGACACACTATTAATTATCTATCATTTTATTGATAATCTTTTAAGTTACATTTATGGTGAACGTTCAGCCGGTCAACATTATCTCATTCATATATCCGATTTTTGTTGTAAATTTTTTACTTATATAGCAAAAATGAGTGTATTATTAACAACGTGGTTATTATTATTTTTAATTATTAATCGTATTATTCTAATTGAACAATCATGTTGGAATAGAAAATGTATTCGTTTTGTTAATGCAAAATATACTACGGTTTTTCTAATATTCATATTTTCTGTCTACAATATTTATCCAATTGAAATATTAAAATATCAGAAAAAAATCGATCTACAAGATTATCAGCCAGGTACGGATGGTGTATGTTCAGCAACTGACATGGAAGGCAAATCAAATCGTATGTTACAAGCAACAAATTATGGTTATAATTTAATTGGTATTGCATTCCCGTGTATTCTCATTCTACTTATGAGTGCATTTCTTATTTGTCGTGTATCAATGAAAAATCGTATGTTATCAAAACAAGCAAGTATATTTAGTTATACAAAAAATAATGGTGAAATTCAACAATCCGATCGCATTTCCTCTCATTATTATGCATCATCGTGTTATATTGTAGCTATTGTTGGTATACTTCATGCATTATTCAATTTACCAGCTCGTTTGAGTGATACACTCTTATTGGCACTATCACCCTATTCAAAAAAATATACTAATTTAATTAGTTTTAGTCACGAAGCACAATCTATTATGTCATTAAGTTATACGTACAAATGGTTTGTATGTATATTGTTATGTCAACGTTTTCGATCACAAGCTAAAAGAATCATATGTTTTCTAATTGAAAATAAATATACTCATCAATCAATGTTAAAAAAGCATCATTTAAACAATAAATTTATGCAACAGAAAAGAGTACGACAACAACAACAACAACAACAACAACAAGGTGCATCAATTGTATGTATTAGAACTCTTCTATTTTTATTTTTTCACATTTCAAAGAGAATTTACAATATTTGATCATTGATAAATAATTCAGATGTTGTCATTTGTCTTATTCGTCATTATTTTAGGTTAATTGTTCAATAGAAAAGCCTGAACAAGTATCTGTTATACTTTCAAAAACAAATATTTCTAGTGAAGAAGATAGAAAAATATTATCTCAGAAACAACTTTTCGTACAGGAAAATCAATTTAGTTCAAAATCAAAGTCTAATATCTATCATAATCAAAATGATAAAAAAATTTTTATTATTGAAAATTATTCATGGAGCACAAGTTGGCTTCGACCATTTACAAAAACATTAATAGCTCGCTATCGTTTGAAAGATAAACATTGTATTCCGCTAATACGTTCAAGTAGTTGTCAACCGTTTATTCATAGTAAACCAAAAGTTCAAAATTCATCAACTGACAATAAGAATGTTAGTCTCATCAGTTCAATAAATAATGTTATGGAATTATCGACGAGTAACGGTACTATAGCATCACCGACTAAACAACATATGATTGATAAACAAAAAATAGATTCAAATCCAATTTATTCCCAAACCAGCACAGATTTATCCTATTTTTCTTTACCTGGCGGTGGAACATACACAAATTTACCTATGCCAAAAAAGCGAGCACCATGCCAAAATATAATAATAACAAACCAAACAAGAATTCGTAAAACATCGAAGACAAACGGCATTATCTCAACAAATCCTCAAAATTTGCAAAATTTTTTATCTTTTTCATATGCATTGTGTAATAATTACTAAAAATGAGATACTGGGTTATTTTCAGAACTAAGGTCCTTAAAATGCCTTTAACTTTAAGGTCTGTAAAAAAGGAAATGTTTTGCTCCACTCCGTGGATCTATTCTCATTTCTCGTGTCTTTAGACTAGTCTCTCTATCTTGTTTGTACTTCATAATCTTCTATTTTCGTGTAGGCAGTTTGATTACACTATCAACATTATGACTTTCACTGTGTCGTTTAGTATCAGTCGGATTTAAATTGCGGATCATTCGACTGAGAATAGCTTTCGCAATTCGAAAGTAGGAAGTGTCAATTGTCTATATATATTGAGCCTTAACTTTAAGCAATTAAAATAAATCTTAAGTTTTCGTAGTCGTTCTTTTGCGCTAGCACTTTAGTATGAGAGTCTAATAGGGTCGATTACGGAATGAGACTAAGGTCAAACGACGTACAAAATGTGATCACAGTGCACGTTGAATTGAATTACTGTGAGAATGATAAACGCGCTATGGTAAAAAAATAGTCTTCACTCAATTGTAATGAGTGAAGACTACACTTAACTAAACACTTAATTCATATTATTTCACACTTTTTATTGTTATTGTGCTATGTCTCATCTCTATTTTACTTTTTCAAAAAGAACAAGAGAATTGTGCTACAACGACGAATGTTACTTGCACGTTTGCTGCATTTTAATGATCTAAAAATTGTTTAAATAAGTTGTCAGGCCTACATTTAAGAATCTCACACTAAGAAAAACATCATTCATACGCAAAATTAATAAGATGTATGTTTTCTCATAAACACAATACTCTCTCTCTCTTTCATCAATGTCTTTTTCTCCGACATCATGAATAACATTAAAATTGATCTGTTTCATTTGAGAACTTTGTTACTTTTACTTAATTAAAACTTGATCCAGTTGATAAAACAGTATGCGACTACAACACAAAAAAATTAATCGAGTTTTTGTAGATTGTCAATGACAAATGTTACTTTAATGTTCACTGTTTCTAGGGAATGAACAGAGTTCATTTAACTTCATATTTTTAAATAATATATTGCTATCTGAATGTCGTGAATTAATGGTATCAATCTGTTTTTTTCTTGAAGTATTCATCAATATCTATTGTCATTACCGAAATGAAAAACATTTCTTACCAAAATTTATCTAATTTTGAGTTATAATCGAGAAAATGAATCATCTGACGCATTATTCTACATTACAAAACATGTAAATAGTCTACCCATTTGGAGCATACATTTCATATTTTCTCGCAACAAACTAAAGATCTAATGAATACAACTAATTTTTCTATAAATATAAGTTTACAATCAACTACTATTAATTATGATACAATTGGTGCACGAATTGGGACCATTGTTTATTCTATCATATATGCGATCGGTTTTATTGGTAATTCTCTCTCATTACTAACATTTTCATCAAGTAAAATGAGACAAATATCATCGTCAATATTCCTTTTAGTGTTATCAATTAGTGATACATTATCATTGATAACATCATGGTGGTTTTTTCTATCAGATGCATTCAATATTCAATTACAAACATATTCCGCATTAGCCTGTCGATTTCGATCATTTTTTGCATACGTATTTATGGATACATCATCATGGTGCATTGCAGCATTGAGTTTTGATCGTTTTATTCGTAGTGAACTACCAATAAAATCACAAAAAATTTGTACACCAAAAAATGCGTCTATAACAATTATAATCGTATTTTTAGTATTATGTGGAATTAATGGACATTATCTTTCGGCTGGTATTGGACAAGAGCGTACAAATTCATCAAGTGCTCATTGTAGTGAAAATCGATACACTTATCCAAAATATTCTTATTTTTATAAAATAATCTGGCCAAAAATTGATATAATTGTCTTTTGTTTTCTACCTGCATGTATAATGATATTTTCCAATATAAAACTTGTTTACAATATTCATCATCAACAACATCATACCAATACTAAAACAAAATCTTCACAGTCATCATCACACAAAAAAGCTATGGAACGACAAATGCGTCTAATGATGATTGCCTGTGTCATTGTATTTTTGATAACAACCGTACCGGTAACAATTTATTTATTATTAATAGAACAAGTATTTATTGGTTATAAAGATTTTTCTAAAAATTATTCATATTATATTTTCATATTTCGATTATTACGAGCCTTGATGTATTTTCATTTTGCTTGCAATTTTTATCTTCATTGTTTAACAAGTCGAATATTTCGAACAGAATTTATGAGAATTATTACATGTGAACGATTAATGGTGTCTTCTCAGCCGAATGGTACGACACATCACACAACATTTTAATCCATAATAGAAAAATTAAACAAGCAGACTATTTTTAAACGTACTCTTAACATCTTTAATTCAGAGAATTAGTAATAAAAACTAAAATATCGTTTTTAAAATAGTCATCGAATGTAGACGAGAGCAATTATTTTCTTCATTTTCACATTCGAACACTAAAAATCAGAGATCAATAGATGATACTTTATCTAATTCACTAACGAATAAGAAATCAAAAACAAAAAAAAAGAGAAAAAAAGAAGAAGAGGATTTTTAATTACATAAAAGTATTAGAACAATTTGAAATGTTCAGTTCCAATTACTGTTGGATAATAAATAAAATTATTTATAACGTGATGAATTGATATTAGCATCACTGAGACAAAATACACATAATTGTTCATGATCAATATTATTTATTTGTTGTTGTCCAGCATGTAATGTAGCTTGTTTTACTGAACATTGATGTTGATGTACATTGGGCATTGTTAAAACACAATGTAAATGATTTATATAAATAACAGCTAAACGAAGTATTTCAATTTTAGATAATTTACGATCAATCGGTTCAGTTCGAATAAGTTTACGAAGTTCAACGAATGCTGAATTTACAGAATGTGTACGATCTCTTTCACGTTGATTTGCTAAATATCGTGGTTTACCACATTTAGTAAAATGTTTTATATTTGAATAAATATCATTTTCACATTCATATTGAATATTATTCCAATATTCAACATCATCATTCTGTTTACGACGTTTGCCTGTCATTATTACTAAAAATAGAGAATTTAACTTGACATATTTTAACATGTACTGTTTAGATCTGTTTAGATACTTTTTTTATTTTAACTAGAAATTTCGTTACAAATTTCTCAATAATTTTACTATGTATCTTTTATGATGTAATACAAATGTTTATTGGGACACATATACATTTAATTGTAAAAATTAGTTCGATATTTTCTTTTAGCACTTACTAAATAATCAAACGGATGATTGATTGTTCATCAAAATTTTACTTACGATTCTCGATATATCTACTGGGAATATAATTTTTCTTCAAATCAACCAAGTTTAGAATCAATAAAAATATTCAATTTAAGTAGCTCCTACCACGAATGTTTGTATAAATAAATGAAATTCAATCGTCTATGACATGAGCAAAAAATTGGGCTGTTAATCACATTAGAACAAAAAAAAATGATAATATAATGTTTTTCTTTTTCTCTCTTCATCTTCTTCTTTTCGGTTCCATAACAGAAACAATCGATTTCATTCAAAATGACACATGAAGAAGAAGAAGAATTGATGAGTTTAACACATTTGATAATCGAAATTGCAAAAGAGCAACTGGATACATTGGGTAAAAGAACAATACCGTTGTTACAAGAAAAAGCAAAAGAACAAGCGGAACTTTATGATAGTAATATAATAATACACTAGAGATTCCGCATGTTAGAAGAACGAAGATAAAAGTATTGTTAAATAATAGTTGCGGATTTTTATTCAAGATTTTCAATCGACACTTGCTGCGATCGCGAATAGTTAGTCAAAAAATGATTATAGACGTCTATACTTTTTAGATAGCCAAAGAGAAGCTAAAATTCAGAGTTAAATAATTCTACGAAAATAGAATATTTCGATCACATGACAGATTTCCATGTACATTTATTTCCATTCTATAAGAAAAATAAGAGATGTTTCATTATTGCGCGATTTAACTCATTTAGACAAACCTTTTTAAATGATTCGTTAGTTCGTTGTGTAAACGAACGATAAAATATATACAGAAGAATGGATTTGAAGTACAGATTTGTTTAATGGAAATTAGATTGCTGTTGGATTAACACTGCTATGATAATATCAACTTCTCAAATACTACATGCTGGCAAACGTGTAAAGTTCTTCATCTCATTAGAGATTCATCAAGAATAAAACACACAAAATAAATATCTCTCACTAATAATTCCAGAGCCGATTAAGTCTGAGGTTAGACTCGTCAATCGACGTTTGAGAGACTGACAGTTGAACGTCTTTGACATTTGATGTTTTTCTATGTGGTACTTTTTTCCACATTTTAACAAAATCGAATAGATTGAGATGGATTCGTCATCCACTCCTCTCTCCTCTCACCGAAGAGGAGAGACCGATGAAAGCAATAAACATGAGTGAAAAATAAGATTCCTCGTGATTTTATTGTAATATAGTGTGAAACTGGAAAGTGTTTAATTATTCTAGGCACAATTTTATTTAGAGATCGATGTAATGTCATTAAATTCACACCTAATAGAGAACAATTGAAAAAGTTGAGAATATATGAGATAAAAATCAGTTTAATAAAAAGTTATAATTACAAGAAAATATCTGAATGTCATTTTTAACCCTTGTAATTATAGTTGAAGTAATCGAATAGGACCAAAAAAGTTCAAAATGTCAGTTAGTCAAACGTCCGTGAATTATCCAGAGTAGCTACATTTTTTAAGGACTTGAACTAATGATTTTTCATATCAAACCCGATTGTCTGAGATATCTTCTTATGGCTTAGCAACATTTTTCCTACAATGTTTTTCTGCTTGTTTTTCCTACATATACTCTGTATGATAAATGTAATAAAAAATGTGGTCTTGCAAAAGGCACATGTTTCTGCGATAGATCAAACACAAATATTGGGCATACTGCATGATAATTTGAACGTATTGTCCTCTTAGACGTATAAATGTGTCTTTTAATGTGCCTGACCTATCAAAAAAAATGTGCTGTCTATAGGAGTACATCGAATGTGTTTAGCATACATCCAGTTTCATTCAGTTCATGTATAAGAAAATGTGAGTAAATCATTATTTATGACTTATCTTCTAAGATGACAAACACTTCAAATGCAAGGCGGCATATTTGTGCACAATAGAATCGAATAGTATTATCTAATGATTTGTTTCTAATATTCAATTGTTTATGTATTGACATACGACAATTTCTTTAAAATTACTTAGTACTAGTGCAAAAAACGTTCTTTTGTATATAGTTTTCAGTTTATACTATTGTGGTGTTTATGTTTGTTTATCTTTTCCCGGATGCTGATGTTCTTTAAGACGTAGGATGTTAAACACTTTTGAAAAAAGAAAGTAATTTTTAACACGACAACCTTGCAGTCATTGCTCTGTAGAAAAAATTATGTTTTATTATTTGTTAAGTAAAAAATTATAGATCAAAAGATGATTCAATTATAATGGTGTAGAGAATGATTACTCGTAGAAAATATCTATATATAATAAAGTAGAGCATAATGCTATAGAGGATCACTTTATGCTCATTTTTATTTATTTCGTTTCCAATACAGAACTATAAATATCAAAAAATGAGCTTCTCTTAAAATGTATTTTTTTTATCAATCATATTTTTTGTATAGAAGCATTTCGACAGTTTAAATAGGAAATACAGTCCCATTACATTCTTCTATTGTATTTAATATAAATAAATTCAAATAGCAGCAGTAGCAGCATCGAGCAAAAACACTTTACGAATATTTATTTTTCGTGTCACTTTCTGTTTTAATATTTATTTTATTTCCTTGGCGGTATTCTTGAAAAAGTTACGATGAAAATGACATTTCTTTCCGTTCTCTATCTATTTTCAAACGAAAAATACTTATCATTTTAAATAAAATTTTTCTCCCATCAGTAAAATCATGGCTTCAATTCTAAATAGAATCACGCTTATACAAACGTGTATTCTTCACATATTCGTGACGATGAACTCAAACACATGAAATTAAGTTTCAGAAAAACTATAAAACTGAATTTAGTTTATCACAATATTCGCTTTGAACGTTGAATGAAAATAATATATTAGATATATTCAAGAAAAAATGAAAAATAGATAAGTTTATAAAGATTTCTTAGTCGACGGACAGCAACATTCTTTCGGTCATGACGATTGCTATTTTCGATCAATAATATTAGTAAGTTAATCAAATCAGCAAATTTATCATTTTATACTAATGTATGCGAATTATTTACATTCGATTTAATCAGCATCTATGATTGGTTATATGATATGTTTTGAAATGGTTGATTTTAATATTCAATCAAATTAGGCAAATACTTATTTAAAATAGATGTACAACCGTTCTAATTAACCGAAACTGGTCAGCACCGTTTCGAAGAAAAACCGTAGTATTTTGAGAAGTAACATATCCTGCACCTATGAAATATCGATTCACAACAAATTTTTATTTGATACGAAGTGTACATTTATATCCAGAGAAAAAGGGAAAAAAAAAGTTAACAAATAAGAGAAAACGCTTCTTGAAACAGCTGAGATGTCTATATTTTTTCTCTATTTCACAAGTAAAAATAATATCATTTTGAGTTGTTACATCCTGTTGTATGATCGTATGTGAAAAATAAATAGTAGTAGTTAGTTTAAATCTTATAGTTGAAGAGTCATAAGGAAATTCAGTCTCTGGTATGAAATTTAAGGTTTCGTAGATCATTTGTACTAAATTAAAATCTTGTGCAAATGGGCTTTAGAAAAGTTCTGTAAATAATAAGAATCAGACGACGTGCTTTTGTGTTTACAGTAGAGGGAAAAGATAAAAAAAGATTTACTCCCACTAGTGGTTCTAAGCGATTTCGGTTCAATTCTTAGATGGTGGAATCGGATGCAGTCCAGGCCTATTTTGAATTAGTCTATTGTAACTGATCTCAATAATTGAGAGCTGTAAAAGAAACATTTCTTATTTAAATGAGACGTTCTATAACTCTGCAGATAGTCTAGATCAAAAGTTATAGCTAATCTCTGTTAGCTTCAAAATACCGTATAGTAACGTTACTGATCTAGCGGTTTATTAAAATGTCCATAAAAACTAAAAAAAGATTATTATCAATAAGAATTACTTTTCTCGATATGTTGGCTCATCTCCAAGGTATGAAACAGAATCTGTTGAACTTGTCGTTTTTCTAGCGGTTGCTAGGTAATAATCGTCACGGTTTATTATTATTATTCTTTTTCTGTACATCGTGTAACATTCAGTTTCTGCAAATCTGTACCAATTGAGGCATTAGTGCTAGTATACATACATGAGCGAAGATGATGTTGGCCCTTTTTTCTTCTTATTTTCTGTTATTTTTGAAGCAAAATGAAAAAGAAACGTATAGATAAAATTGATCTAAACATCATGCTATTGGATAGCAGTATACAGTAGAACTTCTGGATCTCATTTTTAGAAACGAAAAGTGAATTTTTTTTATAGAAAAAAGATACTTTTAATATAAAAGTTCGGCACATAATAGATTGGATGGGATAATATCGAGGATTCGTTTGTTTTACGTAATTGAATACTCTACCTTATGGCACTGTACGAGTTTTAGTGTATAATAAATTATATGTGGGATGGTATACTATGATCTGCTGGCGTCTCTACGATGCTCGTGTAGCGTAAGTGCGCTCTAATTATTCTCTGCTTGCTGCTGCTGTAAACCTGTTCCTTGACTTTTCTCGAAAAAACGAGTCCTAATGAAACAGATGAATGGTTGGTTAGCAATTTATAATAAAACTCATACGTTTTATCATATTCTAAGCGATCCATGTTGTGCTATCCGAAATAATTAGTTGAATGTGTAAGATGGTGCAAACAATTCGACATTTTTCACGTTTCAGCAACGATGTCCTGCATGGTTTCTAAAGCGAGATTCGGTGCCTGTCAACTATTTCAAAATATTAATTCAAAACTGTTAAATATTTGTTGAAATCAAGTACTGTTTAGCTGTTCAATAATGATTTTACGTTTGTGTGGATTATGATTTATTGCTGTGCATGTAGTATTGTAGATGTCTGTCCTAGCGAATGAATTATCTGTTATTATATCAGTAAAACATTTTACGCAATAAACTTTACTACAAAAAATGCATACAAAGCAAAAGCTTGACTAATAACCACAGAAAAAATAAACATGTCTCTTATTAATCTCCTTTAGGGAAGCTTTTTCCCTACTGAATCATTTCTAGTTATCAATTTATGAATTCCTAATGTACACCACCTTAACATCGGAGTATAAACACCTAACGATGTTATAATAATTGCCTCACTTAGGCCACCAGCTATGACATCTGACATCCAATGAGCACCAGATATAAGTCGGGCAGATGACAATACAACTGTCAATGTCCAAATTGGAATATTTAACAAAAATTTTTTATATGGCGATGACAATGATCTCGAAATAATAACTGACATTAATATTGCCCAGATAAAATTTACCACTCCGTGTTCGCCGGGCCAGCTGAAATAGAAAGACGAAAACTTTAATATTCAAGTCAAGCAGTTCTAATACAAACAAATTTGGCGCTTTTATTCTCTTGATCCTGTCGAATTATTTATTACATGATATTTCTTTCGAATCAGTTGAAATATGTCTTATTGAATTCGATGAAAAATCAACAAACTATGTCAAACTTTAAATTTTATTACAACAATTTAGTGCGTCCCTTTTAAAAGTGGAATTTTTCATAGATGTTCTAGTGTAGCCCTCTTTTAAAAGTGTTTCCTGAAAATGCCGTTTCTAAAAAGCACAGCTCTGTCACACTTTTTTTTACAGTATAGATACTAACTATTTTTCTAATGAACGAAAATTTAATTAGTACCGAGAGGAATAAATACTATTCATCTTCTTTTCTGTTTTTCTTTCCTTTTCCTCAATATCTTAACGTTGACAACCATTCTTACGTCTTTCTATTTATATTTACCTGTCATAAGCAACTTCTTTGATTAAATCAAGTTTTCCAACTTCTAAAAATAATCGTTCCATACTGAACACATCGGATAATGATGACGATGCGATGGCTTTTTTGGTTAAACCAACTGTTGAAAATTTGAATACCACTGAAGGACTGGGCCGTTTTGGACACATGAAATCTCTATATAACTTTGATAACAGAAGTTGAAAAGCCATACCATAGATAATAATGGCTAATAATACTGATGTTTTCATTTTTCTTGTTTGATTTTTTAAAATATTTTTCGAGTATAATACGAGACATGTTATAATCAACATGAATATATTCGAAATAATCTCACCAAACACTTTAATATTTAATATGGCAAATACCTTTGCAATTATATTCGATTGTTCACCGGTTAACAGACGATTATTAAAAAACCGAAATGCCAATAAATCAAACCTGTTCCAAACGGATATTTGTAATGAATGATCACGTTTAAATTCACAGCATTGTTTACCACATAAACACCTAAATAAGTGAACACCTTAGCCAAGACACCAGGCTATATGTTGAAGATCATTCTGTACATACCAACTTCCTACTAGAATTAATGCGAATAAATTGAATAAAACTAATTTTTTTATGTTACGTTGATATAATTCTATTAAATTGGCCATCTATCTATACTGATCAAATGACTATTCTATAAGAGAGATTGTATACTAATAGAGCTGTTAGAGTAAATGAACTATCCAATTCAGTCTGTTGTTCAGTATTTTTATTCAATTATATAGAAAAAGAAATGGGAAAAGCATGAGTATTGTAATACTCTTTCTATTTTTTTCTGTTAAACCGAATGACGTAAAAAGAAAAATATGTGACGTAATGTCACACATTTTGGCTAAACAGTACAATATAACCTTAGCCTGAGATAAAGTAGACGCGTTAACAAAGGGCTTCGTTTAAGCTAGACAATCAGAGCCTAATTTGTTCAATCAGTGGCGTACTAAATATTAAAAAAGAATTAAAATTGTTTAGAGCTTATCTCTGTACTCATAATGGAAGCGATCACTTTTAAGCTACGAACTGTTTGTTCTTTAAAGTTTTACAGAATACATGTGAACGAGTTTCCAAAACACTATTTCTGACCTCTTAATTCCAAACTAAGAAAAATTATTTCAGTATAAATTTCGTTATATCATTTGAGCATTACTATTGATTTCATGATATAGTGCATTCCGATATTATAGAAGCATCAGGCTATAATTTTATAGCCCGATTAGGATATACAGCTTTTTTGATATCTTGATCGGGATCTATCATTTTTTACGTTTGTTAAACTAAAAACGAAGTCCAACTGCGTTTTGTTCTCTCGTGTATGCGGTCAGCATGTGTATTACGACTTTATAGTATGTTATAGTTCTTTGTTCTTCTAACATATGGAAGGAAGAAAGGAAGATTTAAGGTCAAGCATTGCCACAAACGCTAAGATGATGCTGACGTGAGCTGGCATTTGTTCGCCATTAGAAAAATTTAACTTTTAAAAAATGTACTCATTATGTGTCCAAAAACGGTTAAGATAATCTAGGAACAAACGCTGAGAGCAAATTGTGACACTTACTACGAAAAATCACGAGGATGACGTTGATTGTAGTGACTTGCTCGCAGCGTTTGCTCCTAGCATAGCTCAACCTCTAAAAACTATGGCAAAGGTCGATTCGAAGTTGGAGCATCGGCTGCAATGCGCTGCTCAGTCGTCCAATCTTGATTAACAAACATGACTTGGCTATTTCACTGGATGTCACTGCCTTATGCATGTCCAGAGTAAGAGAAAATGTCAAGATATTTTAAGAAAGTGCCGAAAATGGCTAGTAAAAAAAGTAACTTATCCTGATCGGTACATAAAATATGAGTATCGAGAATTATTTTAAAAAAGGTGACTGATCTTGGCCTATATTCCGATCAGGACATATTTTGATTTCAAAATAGGATATAGAGTATGCGTCCCTATTGTCCGACGTTTTTGAAATAACTTTTGATAGCAAAAGATGACACTAGTGAGCTCACTAGTGACTTGAGGACACTAGTGAGCATCGATTTGTGAAAAAAAAGAACGCTGAGACCACCACTTGAAAGTGGTATGCTGCACCTTTCTTTCTAAAACAACGGTTCTACCAGCTGATATTTTTCTCAAATCCTCGTCTGCCAGTTGTTGGAGTAAAAAAGTAAAATTCTTTATACTTTTATAGTTACACGGCAACTGATTTTTGTGTCCTGCACCTTGTCAAATAAAAATTTCCATTATCTGTCATATCGATTCAGTCGTGAAATTCTAAAAGCGTGTTCGGTCAAAACTGATTGCAGATTCGGATTCTCTATAGTCGATTACCTTACATGCAACAAGTGTTGAATCGGGGTACTCCAGAAAAAAAATTTTCCATTGTTTTGCAAAAGAATTTTTTACGAAGTTCCTGGAGAGGACCAAGGACTGAATGAGACTGAGAAATTTTTCTAGAGCAGAGGCGGCGGAACCACTAGGCTGAGTAAGGCTTAAGCCTTACCCGGATTTGGCTCTGTTAGGCTGAGCCTTACCCCGCTTTTACGTAGAATTTTGAATTTAGCACTATGTTATTTGGATAAAAAAAAGACCAAAAAAACTTTCGCTACGTGAATTAAACTCTGCAATTTTTCAGTGATCTTAAACGCAGAGGCTAACATGAGATATGTGCGGTGAGAACAGACGACTGGATCGGGATAAAATGCTAACTTTTGGCATCAGAAACACCTAGAAACCTCGAAATGAAAATTGTCGTTTGTTCAAAATAGTGAAGTAGTCCTTTAATTGTATAGATATGCCACGTTTTTCAAACAAATATGCTTTTCTTTGATTAGTCTAGCGCAAATTTTTCCCTTGTTTGGCCTTTTTGCTGGGAACGTCACTTTTTAGGAGTCTGAGTAAAAACAGCTTGGATTCATGGAGCTCGAGGCGACATTTTATTTCAGAGAATTGAGCTAGTAGCCTGCTCTTGCTACGAAAACTTTTACGGAAAATTGCACCTTCTCGAAAAACTTTCTAGATTCGCTGCTGCCTTTCCGTGAGCCTTGTCCCGTTTGGGAACGTTCTGCCGTCTCTGTTCTAGAGTACTCCTAATTGATTCTAAACTTGTTGCGTACAAGGTAACCGACTATGAATAGTCCAAATTTGCAATCAGTTTTGGTCGATCACGCTTTTAAAATTTCGCGATTGAATTGATATGCCTGATCTATAGTTTTCATGTCCTATTCTGTCCTATGAAATTTTCTTGCATCGTTTACTTTTCAGCGTGGAATGTCATTTATTCAATTCTATCAGAAATACATACATAAAAATGACAGACATAGAAAAAATTAGCAGAGCAGAAAAAGATAGGCGGCAATTTTCAAAAACACCTTGGGATGCGTTATATCATGAAATCGATAGTGGTAGTCAGTCAGATCAGCTACCTGATGCAAGATTTGCGGATCTATTTTCTCTTGAAATCCTTACACTTATTTTTTATTTAGGGTTACTTTTTCGAGATAAAAAGTTAGAATTGAATCGGGCCCATCTCTTATATAAATACACAAACATCCATTAGCAGAGATATACATGCAGTCTAACAAAGCGTCATTACATGCAAATCTACGGACCGACGTTATCCCTACTATTTTGCTTATTTTTATCATTCCTACTATATAATATTTTGCAAAAACTAATTCATTACTTTTCAAATAATTTTTATTTAAATTGGAGCAAGTTTACACTATGTTTTTACAATATTTTATACCTGTTTTGTGTCTCATTTCATAATTTTCATCTATGCTTGTGTGCTACCCATATTGACTGAAATAAGAGCATATAGTTTTGGGCTGCACCAAATTATAGGCTTTTAATGCCAATTGTTTCATTCTTTTATCTGTATCATAAGACATTGACGATAAATACCTTTCATTTCTCTAAAGAAACTGCTTCACGCGGTGAAAGTTCTGCTCTGTTTCTTCAGAGAAATGAAAGGTATTTATCGGTATAATTTGTATAATTTGATGCAGCCGAAAACTATATGCTCTTATTTTAGTCAATGTGAGTTAACACAAGAGCATAGATGAACATTATAAAATGAGACACAAAAAAAGTATGAAATATTGTAAAAACATATTGTAAACTTGCTCCAATTTAAATAAAAGTGTTTTGAAAAGTAATGAATTATTTTTGCAAAATATTGTAATTGCCCGATTGAGTTTCATTTATCTGAGTATGTACGGTGTGATTCGCCTAATTAACATCATTTCAGTTTAGATTGATTCTAGAATGAGTCGTGAAACGGGAACATGGCTCAAGTAGGACTGTCAAACACAATAAGATAAAATCACACAATTATGAGAAACCAAAATGAACAAGTGAAACAGTCTCCTAGAATAAATAAAATATTGCATCTTCTAACTGTTTGTTTGGAAAGAGACTGTTTATACTAACATCAGAAATTTATTTATACAATAACGAAAAGAAACACAAATAAACAAATACATTATTTCATCGTGTGATCTGTTTGATTACTTCCATAATTATCTATCTCTCTATCTCGTCATTATTTTTAACATTGTCAACAACTTCAAATTGATATAGATTAGTTTGATTAGTTTCTTGAACTCCATTATCAACATCCATATCATCGTCTAAAATAGTCTCTTCTTTCTCTATATGATCGTCTTGTTGTTCTTCTTGTTCAATTGGAGATTCTTCATGTCTTTCGTAATAATCCTCGTCTTCTTCTTCTTCATCATCCTCAAACCATTCATCATCATCAAAATTAGTCGTATCATTATCAAATGATGTTGTACTTGTTTCCATTGTTTGTAATTGACCACCATCCATACTATTTTTTTTCTTTCGATATCGTTGATATTTTGGATGTAATAAAACACGAATAGGTTTTGTTATTTCAAGAAATTCTTCATTAATATCCATTATAAAACAATTGGATTCTCGTGGAAATAAAACAACGGAAAATGTTGCATAACATGGTCCTAAAATCGAATGAAAATTTAAAAAAATACAATAACATCACAAAATAAAAAGATACATACTTAGCCAATATTGATGGGAAAATGTTATTTTAGAGTCAATACGAAGTGAACCATCTTCCGCCAATGTACGAATATTTTCATCATTAATAGGAATTAAACAATAACGCCCATCAAGATATGTGACCTAAAATAAATAAATGTTATTCTATTATTGAAATGACTATATCAGTATTATACTTTAATATTCATTTGTTGTTTTCGATCTAAATATTTTGCATTCATTAGACACTGTATTGATGTTGATAAACCGGGTAAAAATTCAATAGCATTATCAATATCAGAATCTGGTTCGATAAATGTGACCGATGTCATTTGAATATTGTTATTAAAAGTAATTGAATTATTTAATAAGCTTTTACTCATTATAGGTAAACGTGCTTTGATAAAACCTAAAATATTTGTATATATTAAATTTGTTTTATCGTTTAATTCGAGATCATCAAATATTTTGTTTTTTAAAAGAGAATTATTTTCAATCCATCGTATATGTTTATGCCAACGTTGTTTAACGAATAATGGAATTGTAGATGAATCACTAGATGTTTGAACAGACAGTAATAACATATGACAATAAAAATGTAATTGTTGAATTGATATTAATTGTTCATCGGTATAACCACGAAATACTGTCAATAAATGTTTACATAATGTGATGGCCTATAGTGAAAAAAATTATAAACAATATGTCACTTTTTTCTGATTGTTACGTTTACTTTTAAACAATTTCTACTTGTACATTGCCAAATAATCAACGCTAAGATTTCGTAGTATAATGCTGTACATTCGGAGGCTGGTAATAAATCACTATCCATTTCAGCTACTTTGTGTAATTCACTAGATAGATCAATAGATTTTATTTATCTTTTTATTAACTTAAAATCTTTTATTTATAGACAACTTACGCAGCTAATGCACGATAGAATTTTTGTCTATCACTTGGATGGAGTTCTTGACTTTGTCGAGCTTTTTTTGAAATACGCTCAAATACATCGTGAGAAGATTTGATTACTGTTGGTAATGAGGCAAATATATTCAATGTTGACGTATCTGAACTCTGAAAAAAAACATTTTATACATACAAAGTCTTTCTCCTACACAAGAGACAACGTTTAGTTTATTTGTTTTTTTGCAAAAAAAATGGTCAACATACTCCCTGAAGATTTGGAGTTAAATCGGGCTCTTTGGTTCTTAAGTATCGATAGTGTCGAAGAACATAATCAGGTAAAACAGATACAATCGACGGATGATTCAAAGCAGCATTTAATACCAATATTAATGTACATGTATCTAAATAAAGTGAGACATAGCTGTAAATATTCAGTAACTAAAAGCAAACATATTTTACGATCAATTTTAGAAAATCGTGGCTCCTGAACATCCAGATATAAATGCATTGGTAATAATTTTGGTAATAACAAGGCAATAAAGGCACTATTGTTTTGACCAAGCTCTTTTAAACATCTAAATATACAAAAAGTCAGAGACAGATTAAACAAATGAGGACGTCTGTTACCTTAATACAGAATATGTATCAGTTTTAAAACGTTGTATATTTTCAACCAATCGATGAAAAAGTTGATGTAATGTTGTTGGATCGCCAATTTTTACTACACGCAATACATCATGCAAAGCTGAACGTATATCGTACGAACGACTCTAAAAAAAAATGTTTTTTTTTTAGATAAAATTATAAAGCGATTTATTATAGAGATTACCAATAATTCTGTGAGAATTGATATAACTTGTTCACCTCTCAATACTTTTCCATTTGCTATTTTTCCTAATGTACGCATTGCTAATAATCTAACATGTTCAATATCATCATCAAACATTGATACAATATATTCAATTATTTTTGATAAAAAGACATCATAACCACATGATATATCATAGCACGAGTTAACGGCTGCCGCGCGAACTTCTAAAGTAAAAAAAGAAAAAAAAAATTGGTTTAGAAAATTAGAAAAGTTCAACTAAAAAGTAACATATTCTAGATTTAAACAATATTTTGACAAGTCTACGATAAATGTGTTCGACAATATTTTGCTATTGTTGCAAAATGAGGCTAATTAGATATCTTTCAAAAGAAATTATTATTCATTACCTGAATATTCATCTTCCAGACCGCTAATAAGTGCTCCACATGGTCCAATAGCTGTGATTGATACTGATTCAGCATCAACAGTAACATCATGTACTGCTATGTCTTCCATTTCACTGTCCAACTGTTCAACTTTAGCTATAAGTTCTTTCCTTTTTGTAATCTAAATAGATGAATATGGTTATTATTTCTAAAATATGTCTGTTGATAATTTACCCGAAGCAGTTTTTTATCCAATGTTTGATGAACAAGATTGATGTCAACGCCATGACGACATAATTTACCCTATGAAAACATAAATATAAAAAATTAAACTCAACAAAACAAATATAAACATCTTACAATCATTTGCATTGCTTGTACACGAACATTTTTTGCTTCATCATTTGTTTGATCACAAACAAGTCGAAATACCTGATTGATTAATTTTGATTCATCGTTTGGCGCAGTCAAAGATGATAATGGAACAGAACTATACGAGACAAATTCACATTCAAATCTATATAGTTAAAATAGAAATCAAATGTCTCAGTTACCTCTCTGGCATATTTATTGCTAATAGAAACAGTGCTTCACACGCCGTTAAACGTATTTCAGAATAATGATCTTGTAAACATTCAAGAAAATAATTATAATGAGGTAAATTCAGACCAATTTCACATTTATACAACATAACCTAGAACAATGACTGATATAATGATGATAGAGAAAGACTAAATTAATTGTTACATACTATTGTTCTCAAAGCTTCAGCTCTAACACATGGATCATCATGTTCAATTGTTTCTAATAATTTATTAATTATATCTGATTTCACAGTTTCATCTATCGATGGCATTTGTCCAAGTTTACCAAGTAATTTCAATGCGCATATTTGAATACGAATATGAGAATCAATAGAATACTAAAAAATAAAAAATAAAAAACTAATGTCAAAACCCTCACTTGTTTTTATTTAATATTGAATTACGTACCCACCTGTATGGCATATTTTGCTAATGTTGATGTTAACTCTTTATCGGATAAGTACATTGAGGATAACACAGAAAAATAAGTCAATAATGATCCAGTGACTTTAATTGAAGCTAAATAAATCAAATAATAGCTGTAGTACAATTCAATTGTTAAGAATCTTCACTGAACATTTAGTAGTTTGATATCAGTTATAAAAAGAGCTTCTTACTTATGTAAAGAAGATTCTCTCGCATTATTTTTAAAATAGAAAGAAATTCAATTGTCTTCTAGTTACTAGTTTATGTTCTTGACATTATCTGATTATTATTTCACCTACTTGTTTGTTTTAGTAAATGTGTTAATTCTTTAACAATTTCATTGTTTTCTGTCGGAAATATTTTTTGCATCGCTGTCAAAGCATTTATAAAAATAACTTGTATATTTGGATCAGTTAAACGTATCATCTGTTGAACGAGCATTCTAAAATAAGACATCGAAATGTATGATTCGCTAAATCATTCTTAGAAGTTAAAAAATACTTTTTACTATAGTGTGACTTGCAAAAAATTTCTTTTACTTCTATTTCTTTTTTATGGAAAATGTCTTATTAATGTGAACAAGAAGAAAACACACATACGTATAACAATCTTCAATACATTCTTTAAATAATATTAAACGATTTGTAAATTCAATTAATACTTGAGTATATTCTTGTAATGTACTTAGTGTTTGTAAACGTTTTTGTAAATTAGTAAAACGCCAATATTTTGTTGATAATTCAAGAACACGAATTTTATGGGCTGGAACAATAATCGGTTCAAGTGTTGATGTTGATTGAGGCTAAAATCAATATTAAAAAAAAGTTTTAATTCGCTGTTAGAATACAAGGGTATAAATCGTCTATTTTGTGCTGAAATTAATAGAGTTTGCCAAACTGACCTTAACATAAAACTGTACTGTTTCTGATTGATTTATATTCTGCAAAATTCGTTTTTTCAACGCCATTATTTAGATGTTCTTAGAACAAAAATCTAGAAAATCTAGAGAAAATGCTGTATACATAGAAAAGTTTATTTTATTCTCTAGCCGACCAAATGGATGAACATCAGCTTAGTGACGGAACGATAGTATTCGCTCACGTTTCTTTTCAGTCAGCAATCCTCATCTGGAACCGGCAGATGAATGGATAAACGGACAAAAACAAACATGATCGTTAAGGTCAACATTTCCTTGTGATTTTATATCTTAGATAATTGCACAGAAGAGGTTAAATATGTAACCTATTTTCTTACTTTCTTTTTTTTCTAACAAAACAAAATAACCTCAAAAGAATAAAATAAAATAGAAATGGCATTAAAAAACAAAATAAAGTAATAAAATAAATAACAATTAATGAGAACATCAAATTTGGTGGGTTAAATATGAAAAAAACGAAAACAGAAATTATATTTGATATTTTTGTTGTTGGTTATATGTAAATGTTCGTTGAGAGTTTGATAATTGTCCGAGTGCTGAATTTAAACCCTGCAAATGATTGAAAAACGCTTGTTTTTCGATTTGTATGGCAATATTTGTTATTTGATTTTCTTTTAAGATTGTTTGAGCTTGTGATGTTATCTTTTGTTCGTCTCCTTCATTTGTTATTTGAATGTGAATAGTTCCAATTGTTTGTGATGATGACAATGCCCAAAAATGTTCATTCGAAATTGATTGAACGTTTTCTATACGGAGAATTTTATCTAACATTATTTGGATATCCGATGGCGTTTGTAGCAATAGTGTCATCGCCGAATCTTTCAACAATGGTAATACGGAGAGAAATATCATAATGGCAATAAATAATGAACAAAGGGGATCACTTATGTACCACCCAAAATATTGAATTAATAATGATGAAATAATGACACCAACACTACCCAATGTATCAGCGAGTACGTGAAGAAATACACCTTTCATATTAGCATTATTTGTTAACGAATGGCTATGATCATGAGATTTTTCAGCATGGGAATGACTGTGATCGTGACTGTGTGAATGTGAATGTGAATGTGAATGATCAACAGACTGGTTATGCGAATGACTTCCACCACCACTATGTGCATGACTACTGCCTCCCCCGCCATGTGAGTGAGCATGGCTAAATGAAAATAATCCAATCATGTTCACAGCAAAACCGGCAACCGCTACGGCCAATAAACGATCAGTATTGATCGTAGGTGGTTCAAATATTCTGCCAACTGCCTCATAAAATACAAAAAATGCGACAACAACTAAAAATAAACCATTAACAAAACCCGATAATACTTCTACTCTTCCATAGCCGTATGAGAATACGCGTGTTGGTTTCCATCTTGTCATCAATGCCGCATATAAACCCATGACAAGTGCCGTACAATCAAATAACATGTGAAATCCATCCGATATTAAACCTAAACTATTTGTCCATGCTCCATACAATAATTCCACAAATGTAAACATTAAATTGATGCATAGAAAATAAAATATTTTTCTTGAATCTGATTGTGCTAATATTTCGCGTAATCCCAATTTCAATGTTGTCACGAGCGATTGTGATGACGAACGTTGAGCAGCGTTAAATAATGGCGTACCTTGAGGTGAATAACCGATAAATGCTCCTGAATGTGTTTTTAACGGAGATGATAGAAGATCAGTTGAGAATAATAACATGACAATGGCAAATACAACACCTCCGGATAGTGCATGTTCGCTAGGTTGTTGGTATACTTCATTTGAAATTGAATTAATATAGCTTGTCGATATATTTCCGCCCCAAAATACATTAATAATGAGAGCACCTAAAATCATAGTATACGTAGAATAACGATATGTACGTGGTTTATCTAATTTTGATAAGCTTATTTGTTCACTGTAAAAATCGAATACAAATAAAAATATACTTATTAAAATAATTGGTATAATGTAAGATGAAAATAGCCCCCAACTACCACTATTATTTGACAACGAAAATACTGTTGTTGCGTCATCAGCTACTAGTGTTGCTGCTGAATTAGGTACAAGTTTATTTGCGATAAGTACAATGAGAGATAATGGTGTGAGAAAGATTGTTGATATACACATTGTCAATGTATGAAAACGTTTTGGACCACCGATATCTAAGATCAATTCTTTGTTAAAGTTATTTGTTGTACAACGTAAAAGTAAAGCGATAATTAACAGAATAACGCCACCTTTATGATCAGCAACTCCAATTAGAGATGTAAAACGATAAAATAAATGGATAAATATTTGACGATGTAAATTCCCTTCGGGATGATCTAATACCTAAAATGGAAAGAAACAAACAAAATTATCAAACTGATGAAAATATAGCACGAAAATGTAATCAGCGCAGAAAAACACGATAGAAATACAAAGTTTCTTTTTATAATATATATGGTTTGATCGGTATGAGGCCTGACTAAAGGAGAACATTAATGCAAGAGAACAGTCGCTCAAAGCTTCAGATAAGTGAAAGAGAAAACTAGCGAGAAAGTCACAAGTGTCCTGAATTGCCCAAAGCAGTGAACGTCAAAGATGGAAGCCCTTTTTAATCACTGCTTTTCACCACAAGCGAAATATCTACGGATCCTAATCTAATCATACCTCTTTATTCAAACTACCTACTTTTTGTCTGATGTCATCGTTATCAAATGCAAATATGGCTAAAATTGCTAGTAACAGAAATACGGTTCCTCGCATTCGCGATGTATTTTTTTGTTGTGTTGTAGAAAATAAAGATGTGAAACATGCTAGAATCACAATATCACTATGCTCATATAATAAAATAGTTCGCAATGGACCACATAATGTTAAACCAAATAACCATAATAAACGAATAATTGTCAACAATAGACTATATCTGATTAAACGATAAATATTTGATTTATTATTTCCAAAAAATAATTTTTTTGTTTGAGTAAACGGCTTTTGTATGAATAACAAGCAAACAGATGCAATTAAAGAACATATAAATAACAGCAGAACAACATGAACCGATTTCAGAATATCATAAGTGAGGAATAATGATAGAGTTTTCAAAAGCTTACTAACTAAGAGTAAGAATAAAATGTGAAGGGCATCTTTCAACGGACGAATTCTCGAACTTTTAGACAGATCATCTGTGTCCATTTTAATATTAGCGATTCAGAAAATAAATAATAACGTCAATACCGCATCTTTTCATGTTGTTGCAGCGATATTCCTTTAACTTTAGTCTCGCTACGGTATATTATAAATATTATTACAAAAAATACTTTTGCGTTCTGTCTGTCTGTTTGGAAAATACGGAACGTAGCTAAATTGTGGAATACTATTTTATGAATTGACCAATCAAACGTCTATACGCACAACATCTTAATGCAAAGGAGAAAGAAAGAACGGTATTGAAAGAAAAGAATGGTAGGAATACTGACCAGAGAGACAAAGAGAGGTGCTGAACAATTTTTTCTAAGATGCAAGACAGATGTCGCACGGAACCCGCTATATACCTTGGATAAACAGCACGATATTTTTGTAAAGCTAAGGTTGTCACACAATCGTATGCTCTCTTATCTCGTATCAAACAATTAAAAGACGTGCTCGTTTTGAGAAAATTTGATATTTGTAATTAAACCAAGGTGAGATCAACTGGATGAATTAAAGCGACTTGACGCACTAGAGAAAAACACAAAGAAAACATATTCATAATAGTATATAATACAGTACAATAGTCAGTTTATTATTCAGAAATTTATTTAGACGTTTGAAATCGGCGTAACGAATGTAACGAAGTATATATGAAGGACCGGCTGTGAAAACACAGAATCACATGGGATAATTATGGTCAAATCATCAAAATTTTGTCGTATTTCTGGCATAGTCTGTTCAATTCTGACCGGAAAAAAGCGGTTTTAACCGCCCTAGGCGACCGAACTTACGACAATTCTATAGAAATCTTATAAAAATCTTATAAGAATCTTATATAAGGCAGTCGATGGAAATGCACAAGATATTGATAAGATTCTTATAAGAAGGAATATAAGAATCTTATAAGATTCTGATAAGAATTCGATAAGATAGATTATACAATTAGTTTAGAAGAGTTCATAAGATTTTGGTAAGTTAACATACGAACTTTTATGTACATCAATTAAAGCGTTTGACTATATGCAAACTAAATTGGTAGCCCTGCATCATATAGGATCCTATGAAACACAGGAAATCGTTTAACCTATCAAATGCTATGAATTCATATATACTAGAATTTTGTCGGAATTATATTGAGAGAGATTTATATTTTGCTAGAAATAACTCATTAAAATGTTTTTCGAAGATACATTTTCTGTTGCGATCAATCAAGAAATTATTTTCTTTGACCATGGTTATTGAATGAGATGAAGTTCTTTTATGATTGCTTCTGGAGCTTTATTAAGACAGATTTTGCTTCTTTATAGAAAAAAAAGGATCTCAAGTAGCGCATTTTTCTAGAGATCGGTTGGAAAAGCGGGCTTTATACAAATGAGCAACATGTCGTGGCCTACATCCTCGTCTCACATATTTTTATTTTTCGAACTTCATTTTCTTCCTGAGCATGATAGATTATCCGGTCTACAAACAGTAGACAATGAGGACGAGTCATGAGACGGTCCACGGGGGATTAAGGTCTTATTATAGAAAATTAAATAAGTGGAAAGAAAATTATTTTATTCCTTTATGAAACAGTAGATTATAGTAGGAAAGTAGATATATATAATATAGGGTACTGATCACTAAAGAATATGATGAAATTGTACTATACCGCTGGCAAAAATAAGTCTCCCTCTGTATTTTGAGGATATTGTTACCAAACGAACATATTTTTTAAAAAGTAATGACATATTCGGGAAGCCTGTGAAATTTTACATCTTTCTGTATATTTATATTTTTGTTCGGACGGCTGTATAAAAAAATTCTTCCAATGAAGTGTACACACCTTTAGTACTCCATTTCGATATACCTAATACAATCATTGACATCT